ATGAGCGGGGGACGCGCAGCAGGGCGGGAATGCTTAATGTATAGATATATATATATGTATTTAAATAAGATCGTTCGTAAAAAACAACCCCCCGGGACCGTGGGGAAGGTTCGGAGCGCCGCTGGGCTCCCCCTCCTCACAAGGCTTCGTGGTACACATGTGAGAGGGGACAGTCCCCCAGCTGGACATGGGACCCCTGGGGAGAGGGGACATTGGCAGTCCGCTCTGTCCGCCCGCCGAGACCCCACGGAGGGGCTTCTCCTTCCCCGGGTCGGGGAGTGGGTGCATCGTACCGCACCGAGGGAACACCGGGGAGCCCTGTGATGCCGCGGGTGCCATCAGGCTCGCTGAACGGCGTGGCATACTCCGGCTCGGGCGGCAGCGGCTCGGCGTACTCGTGGTATTTTCCCGGCACGTCGTAGTGGCTCATGACCAGCGGCAACGTGTAGCCCTCGTCCAGGAGAGGCTTGAAGGTGGAGGGGCCTGTCTGGCTGCTGGGGCTCAGCTGCACCAGGTCCGGCTCGGCGTATTCTGCAAAGGGGACGGGGGGTTCTGAGCTGGGGACAGTAAGGGGACTGTCCTCACAGCGCTCATGGTGCCGTTCCAGATGTGGGTAGGCTGCAGGCACCCGTGGGTGGGATGGGTGGAAAAAACGGGCACATCTGGACCCCCAGGGCTGGGAAAAGGCAGCCAGACATGTGCTAAAATCCACCCAGGGCAGGACATCTACCCCCCAGGGACAGGCACGTCCCTCTGCCCCAGCACAGAGCAGACTTCCTTGTGCCTTCTGGCCACCTTCTAATGCCTGTGCCTGTGTCTGAGGTGGAATAATAATAATAAAGATAAGAAATAAGCCCTGCCAAGTTCTCCCCTTTGCACAGGACCATGATGATGCAGGACAGGGATGGGACCAGAGTGGTGCTGGGGGGAATGGGCACCCCAGGGTGCAGTGGGGAGGGACACAGCTCCATCTCTGGGCTGAGGGACCCGGTTGTGCCCCAGTGTCCCCGTTACCTGGCGAATGGGTCTGGCTGAGGTCCTCTGGCACAACCACCGTGGGGAATGAAGCCAGCGCGGAGCTGGGGGGCGGCAGGCTCTGCAGGGAGCACACCGGGCTCGGCTCCAGTTTGGGGTACCCTGAGCAAGGAGCAGAAACCCCAGGTTGTCACACGCCATCCTTTAGGGACAGGCAGTGCCATGCCTGGGGGCAGACTGGTGCCCTCAGGAGTGGAACAGCTCAGGGCTCCGCGGTGGCACCAGTTAAACCAGCTGCACCCCTCCTGAATTTGGCCCCGCGGCATGGCAGGACCCCCGGGGAGGGGTTGGGGACACTTTACCTTTTGTGATTCCACAGCTCAGCTCCACCGCCGGCTTTCTGCCAAGGGGAGAGCAAGATGGGGGTGAGGGGTCCTGGTCACCCCATGCCCACCGCCACCTGCTGCACGGGGGGCCGTGCCCCTCGGGACCCAGCCAGCAGCCAAGTGGAGCCGCCACGCCGGGGGGGGGCGATGCCAGGTACCCTGGGGCGAAGCGGGGGGCAGGATGGGACCCACCTCCTCCTGTGGCAGAGGAAAGCCAGCAGCAGGAGGCTGGAGCAGAGGAGCACGAAGCCACCGACGAGCAGCATCACCAGCAGCGTGGAGCCTGGGGAGAGAGGGCAGTGTCAGCCACCGGGTGTCCCATCCCACCCCTCTGCACCCATGGGTGCCAGGAACCCACCCACAGCCACCAGAGAAGGAAAATCAATGTGTTGTCACGGGGGGATCTTAAAGCCCGAGTGGGTCCTTCGGTGCCTGGAGCACCCGTGAGATGAAGCTGTGCCCCAGGGACAGCCCCCCATGGCACCCACCTGCCTTCTCCGGGTCCAGGGCGACGCCGGGGATGGGTGTGTGGCTGGCCGGGCGGCTGGTGGGGACGGGGACCTCCTTGGGGACGCTGGGCACTGTGGGGCAGAGTGGGGACCGTGAGTGTGGGACCACCACTGGATGCATGGGGAGATGGAGATCTCCGGGGGCCATTTGGGATGTAGGGGGGTGCGGGTGACAGCTCCCACGGAGGGGCTCACCATAGGGCCGGGGTGCGCGGGTCCGCGCTGGCTGGCAGCCCACCAGGGCCACCTTCAAGGCCACGCGCTGGTGCCAGCTCTGGGGTGTGATGCGGACGTAGCGGGCGATGATGGGGGGGATGAAGGCGTTGGAGACCTCCCCGTAGCTGTCAGCGTTTCCTTCAAAAACCTGCCGGAGGGGGCAAAGAGGGTGCTGATGGCCACACGTCCGCGGGCAGGGGGTCTGTGGCCCCCCACCTCGTGTCCCCCCCCCATGTCCACCTTGTCCTCCTGGCCACCGCTGCCCCTGTAGGGTCTCCAGTTCTTCCCGTCGCGGCTGG